CCCTTGTGGAAAAACGTAAATAATCTCACGAGAACGTTTTGATGTAACGATTCGGATGCATGACTTCGAATAAACAAATACACAACAAAAATATAGACAAGCCTAAATATCATTATTTTAAACACTTAATACAAAAAAAAAGTCAAACCCGATTTATTTTTTAAAAAAAAAAGAGAAAACGTCAGTTCTACCTGAACTCGGGAATAATTATCATTAGATTCGTTTGTTTAGAAATTAATTTCAAATCTCAGAAACCAAATAGGTTTAAAGAATATCAAAATCGATTGAATTTTACGAATAAAAAATGAATAAAGGAAATAACGATAAGATATTTTCTAAAATGACAAGCGATCACCCAAAATTTAGATATTTTGAGAGCTACGCGATATATCGAGCATATCATCCCTTTAAAGATAGGTGTATTGACAATTATCGTTTATAAAGATCCACCCCATCGTTATTATGTCATAGAAAAAAACAGAGACATTGCAAATGATAATGCATGTAAAATATAATTAGGACCCATTATGGGCGTTGATTTTTGTTGTTGTTATGAATTTTTTTTCAATTTTGAGCCACACCCTTTAACTAGTTTCGTTTAACCTTGGCAATTCAAACAAATCATATTATTCAAGGCGTTTATTAACTTCCAATACACCCACTTAATATGTATATGTATATGATTTGAATAAAGAAAGATATCACAGCGGGGTGTTATAATATTTATAATGATTTGATGAAATCGTTGATGTAAAAGTAAGCTTATCGTGAAAACATCAGTATACTAACGTTGATCAAGCTGATACAGACATTCGAGAATTGAGGTAGCTATAAATTATGGCAGCTTTGGTACCGTATCCTAAGGCAGTGTCTGCATATGAAATGGTAAGTAAATCTTATTTTTGGAATATTTTATTCTATTCCGTATAGTAACTGTGCGTAAATTTTGCAAATTCTGTGGGTTTTTTTATGTAATGTTCATCGAATTGAGATTCCTCAAGTCATTTTCATGAAAATCAAATCCTTAAATGCCGTAGATTATTTTGTGAGTTATAATAGCAGTTGCACAGCTTTATGAAATGATATATTCCTCATGTGGTTCTTAATAACCTTAAAACAAGCTAACACGTCTAGAGTTATAATCGGATTAGAATATCTGAACCAAAAAAGGAGAAAAATTAATATAGATCAAAATAAGTAAATGAAAAAAGAATTAAAAAAAAAATGACAATTAAAGTGATAAATGGTGCAGCCTTAATCTTTCCTTTCCACAGAATGAAATAAATTTTATTTTTTAAATTTGGTTACATTTTTTGGGTAACTGAGTACCCTCTTTAGCACAAATCGCATGAGTCAGTGCAGTGCGATGCACGGCTATGAGAGATGCGTAGATTTCATCTTAATTCAGAATGTATGGTAACTGGTAGCGACTACTTCGCAACGTCCTTAGCTGGTCATAACCACCATATAAGATTATCAAAATATCAAAATAAGGTTCAAGGATGATTTAATCCGTGACATAAACAACGCAGGTCATCGTACAATAGAAAAAAAAACATCACACCCAGTTTTATTGGATATTATGATTGCATAGATAAAAGTGGTGGTTTCATAGATTAAAGAATTGACTCTTGCATAAACCTACTGCAAATATAGGCAAAGCATAGATTTAACTTTTAATAAGAATTTAATGCTTTACGAAATATCATTCAGTGCAACGTGAGAATAAAATTTATCCAAAGCTTTCATAAAATGGATCTTATGTTTTCATAAAATGGATCTTATGTTTTCATAAAATGTGATCCAATACTTTCATGTATGATCCAACGCTTTCATAGAATATGATCCAATGCTTTCATAGAATATGATCCAATGCTTTCATAGAATATGATCCAATGCTTTCATAGAATATGATCCAATGCTTTCATAGATTATGATCCAATGCTTTCATAGAATATGATCCAATGCTTTCATAGAATATGATCCAATGCTTTCATAGAATATGATCCAATGCTTTTATAGATTATGATCCAATGCTTTCATAAATTGATCCACGGCTTTCATAAAATAAGAAAATTCAATGCTTTGATAAAATTGATTCAATGCTTTCATAAAATTTTTCAATGCTTTCATATATGATCCAATGCTTTCATAAAATTGGTCTAATACTTCCATGTATGATCCAATGCTTTCATAAAATTGATCTAATACTTCCATATATGATCCAATGCTTTCATAAAATTGATCTAATACTTCCATGTATGATCCAATGCTTTCATAAAATTGATCTAATACTTCCATATATGATCCAATGCTTTCATAAAATTGATCTAATACTTCCATATATGATCCAATGCTTTCATAAAATTGATCTAATACTTCCATGTATGATCCAATGCTTTCATAAAATTGATCTAATACTTCCATGTATGATCCAATGCTTTCATAAAATTGACCTAATGCTTCCATGAAATATGATCCAATGCTTTCATAAAATTGATCTAATGCTTCCATGAAGTATGATCCAATGCTGTTATATAATATGATCCAATGCTTTTATAAAATATGATCCAATGCTCCTAAACCTCGGCTTTCATAAAATAAGAAAATCCAATGCTTTCATGAAATAGATCCAATGCTTTCACATAATTGATCTAATGCTTTCATTTTATTTCAAACTTTCATAACTAATAGAACGTAAACTTTCATAAAGTATCGTCTGCTTTTGGAAAATATGACCCAACATGTTATGAAAAATCGATTTAATAAAACATTAGTTTTATTGTGAGCAATAAGTCAGGTATGAAATTGAGTAGAAAGTGATGACTGACTCCAAACTAAAAATATTGTCCGTTTATTGAATTTTTACCTTGCATGACGTGTTAATAGTCCCATTATAATTATCCATGTCACCAATCATACAATAAACATGTTATGATGTTTTGAACCAACGAGGGTATATCATATTTTAGGCTAATGTTTGGCTTTTAAGACATGGGCGTAGGTCTACTATTGAAAGAGTTCAGAGTATGTCGTGCCCAGCCCAGTCATCAAGTTATCAAGGCCGTCCGAGTTTTCATCACTGAATTTTGAGTAAGACGACTGTTACCGATCATGGCATGTTCCTTAAGCAACGGTACGATTATTCACATCTAACTACATCATCATTATCATTTAACGTAACGTGGCTTAAGGAACATGCTATCATAGGGGCTGAAGATCTAACTGGAAAAGGCGAAGGCTAATGCCAATGCCACTGGTCTGGCAAAACTTTTAGTATAGAAGAAAAGTCAGACGCCAACCCAATTTTATTTCAATAAATTTTGATTGGGTTTTGATAGAATTTAGTTCGATGCTTCTCTAGAGTTTGTGGTTTCTTGAACTATTCTGTCTTTTTTCAGGGAGGTGATCAATATTCAGGGGAATCGGTTTTAGAATTTATTGATACATTTCGAACAGATAAAAACACCTTTATATCCAATAATGATAAACTACACAAATGGGCAATGTGGAGGTCACAAGTTAACGGTTCTTTTATTAGAAACCTACCGGTAAGTATCTCTTATGCACCAAACTATGTTTAGAATCAACATTAAATATTTTTGTCCTGTTTTGCAAGACTACTCGTTCTTACCAATGAACAGAAAATAAGACGTATATTTCCATTTCATTTCATGTCGATCTGTCACATAGATTACCAAACTTATCAATTTTCAAGGTTTCTCAAGATATACCAGTAGATGAAACTACAATCAGAGAAAAGAGAATTAACATTGACCGCTTCATGGTTCATTCCGATACAGACGAACTCAAGCGATTACAGATGAAGGATGTGTATGGACAAGCAAATGGGTACCATTCACGTCTTGGGCACTCAACTTACTTCCTGTATGGAATTCCACGGATAGCAACGGGAAAGGACATTATTGAAGGGAAGCAAGTTAATCGTCGTAAAGGACCACGCGAGTTTGAAGATCAGGTCAGGTCTAGGACACCCTCACCACCTCCTCCTCCGAGAAGACAACATTTCTTCGTTGGTTCCTCCCAAGGAGCTAACTCTGTGATATCCGATGATCATGGTTTGACACTGGAACTTTCTCATGCTCTCAAATCAACCAGCGTGTTTGCTAAAACACTTCCAGAGCCTATGCCCCAAAAGAACACTAGACAACTTGAACCCCCTAAAAATGAGGTACCGATACAGCATGATTTGACACGCCAATTTGATGTACGCCTATATGAGACACATCGTGTTGTGCCCCGAATTTTGGTACCCGGATACGTGGTCCCACAAATTAAGGTAGTCCCGCAAATTAATGTACTTCAATATCAGCCACCCCGATATGAAATCTGGAGGGAAACGAACCTCATCAGAGATTCTCAATATGAGTTGGAGTACCAGGAAGGCTGTGTTGAATTTGAAGACGACAAATCAAGCATATCTGGATATATCAGCACTTAATTTAATACAGGAAGCACAGCATCTCCAATTTTATGCATATATTATTTTTGTAACTGGACATTTTGATTTATATTTTAAATCCATGGCTTCAAAAAAATCGGAACTTGCCTGTTGTGTTTATTTCAATGTTTCTCCGAAAGATCTCAAAGAAGGTCCACTTTGACACTTATATTTGTAGTTTGGATACTTTGAAGTATCTAAGACCTTTCATTGTTCCGAAAAGTTTTGAAACATGTTCCAACATTTTCATATATTTCGTCATAGTTGTTCAAATTTTGGAAACGAAATAAGATTATTTAATATTTTGTTGTACATTGAAATTTACTTATATTCCCTATACATTATTATTATTATTGTATAAAGGTTTATAGTCGTCTAAATATGTGCTTTTTTCAGTTGATATAGCTCAATATCTATCTGCTCAAAGTATATCAAATTTCAAATTATATTTCAAGTTACATTGGACTCTTCTCAGTCATGGGATCGACAGGATAGGCAGATAGTATTGCCCTGTCCGAACAGCAAGATGTGTTGAAGTCTTCTCTTCAGTCCGTCTTACCTGCAGCACCGTTTGAAGAAATCACGTATCATTTTTACAGGTAGTAGGTTGTAACTAAATTATGACCATTGGATGCGCTATACCAAAACGTCGAATTCAGTATGCGTCAACTATGCGGAGGGGTCATAGTCGCAAGACTCTCATAGTGATTCCCCCAAGAAAATTTGCATTGGCGCATTCTGACACATATTTTGGTGCATAAACGTATACAAACAATTTGGGATGCAAACCATATTTCTAGGGGGGTGAGGAGGGGGCAAATGCACACCCTCTCCGCCCTTCTATCAGATATTTTTGACGTCAAACTTGCCACACGGGTTTTTCGGATGATCATGAACAAAATCCAATTAAAATCAAATTAATCGAAAAATCAAATTAATCGAAATATTGACCCAATTATAACCGACAATCCGACGATATATATGTCACGTGAGTCAATGATTCACAGCTGTTAAAATACGACGTAGGCGTAGTTATTAAACTATAAAATAATTACAGTACACGTAGGTCAAATAGATGTTAAACAGTTTCCAGTAATCTTAGCTAGCACAATTCGATACTTTATGTTAATAGCTTAAGGTAAGCTTTTTTCTGTAGATAATTCAAAGTAGATTATGTAGATTATCAGTAGGCTTACATTATTCATTTAAATATATGGAATCTAGAGGCTAGGTTACCATGTAGGCTTACTATCTGAATGAATGCATTGAATTGCGCCAAAAGACAATTGATTACATGATTTATAGCATCGATTGACCAGACCTTTCATTATATCCCATTGCAAAAACATGGTCTGGAAAATCGGATAAAAACTTTTTTTCAGAAATGTAACTTTCCTTTGAAAAAGATATACCAAATGTCTGCACAGAACTGGTCAGACCTATAGCAAGTCAAATTATGTAGGCTATTAACTCATAGTAAGTGCAGAAAGGTCATAAAAGGTCATTAACACATGAAAACTACCGTTATGTAGTCGGCAGACTATATCGTATCAGTCATACTAGTAGCCTATTGTTCAGTTTCGTGGCCCACCACCATCTATCAGTGTTCAACAAGTTTAATACTAGACAAGTATCGAGTTTTTACTAACAGTTTTATCTATTTTTAGTTGTACCAGAGCATGTGAATTGGATTGCTAAAGTTGGCAGTTAGAATGTGCTAAGGTATGTATTTGTATTTTGTATCAGTAACAGTCCTTGTATATCATTATAATGACCATTTTTAACCTTCATTTAATAACGACCTTTGAACGAAAGACCATGTGTAGCTTACATGAGTAGGCCTAAACTATTTAGATATATAGTAAAGTAGTGTGGTATAGTGTATAGTTAGTCGAGCTAGGCCTATTTGACCGCCATTTTGGTTTCTACGGAAATCAATAACCTAAATAAGAAGAAACTACTACTAAGTACTACAAATGTAGTAAAAATAGATGTTATTGGACACAATTGAAGAGCAATATTTTGTAGGCCAATGTCTCGTCCATGAACATACATGTATTATGTAGTACTGTACGATAAGGGGCAGCGTGGTTTTTATTAAGGTAGGGGAGAGTGGGGCAAAAAAGTGGAGTTAGGGGCGCAAAGGGACCTGATCTTTATAATATATAACTCTAAGATTTACATAGAGTTCATGTCGCCATAATTTTTATGCTATTTGGTTTATTCTCAAAAAATTAAGTGTGGTATTGTGCTATTACCCGATTTCCATTTATTATATTGGTGCGCTTAGAAAACAAAAACTAACACAAGCAGTAGCAAATGAACGGAAACAACAATAAATTGTTCTTCATACGCGGCACGGGTGTTTTAAAAGAAGTCATCATAGCTGTGAATATTAATCTACCCTCAGAGGATAACCTGCACTACGGAACAGCCCTCGAAACCCCAGTAATTCAGGCATCATTGCAATTTATGTGACATATTTTGTGATTTAACCATATTATACAAAAAGTTGACAACGTGAGTTGCTGCACCTTGATCTACCTACAAAACAAAATGTTTGTCAATTGAAATGACCTTTCTTTTCCTTCCAGATACAATGTCGAATGAAGAAGAACATACGCTGATTAGAGATATTTTCTATTCTGGCAAGGACACTGATGAAGATGTTGATCCTGCTGATGCTAACAAGGAATGTTTAGACCTATATCTTCCCGCTGGGGTACACTTTGAAAGATGCAACGACACCGAGAACGGACCACTCCGTCCATCTTCTAAAAATCGAGCGAATCCGGACCAGAAGGTGCCATTTGTTATTTTTGTACATGGAGGAGGATGGAGAAGGGGGGACAGGCAGGTTTGGCAGCATTTTCTCAGTTGTTGGGACACAAACATTTTTCTTGCTATGGTCTCCTGGTATTACGGTTGGTATTCCAATGTTGGCGAATGTCTTGCGAATTCAGGAATCGCATGTGCCGTAGTTTCTTATCCATTAGTGACAATAAACATAGCAATTATTCTGTGGGAAAAAATGACTTCCTTTTTGGGAGGCGTTTGTATGTCTTGCGTTTTGAGTGGTATTGTTATGTTTTTGTACGGAAATCCATCGATCTCTTCGGTGCTCTGGACTGGATTACTTTCATACAGTGTTTTCATAATGGTGCTGATGTTTGTTAGAACAGTATCGTATAGGATGAACGCTGGACGAAGGAACCTGCTGTGGTTAATATTTGGTGGTGTTAGTTTTGTTATCTGGGCAGCAACAGATGATTACCTTTACTATATTTCTATTTTCTCGACGATATATACCCAATCTATTTTAATAAGCAAAAAGATCATTCTACCTCCAGTAACACACGCTGATCAAATCAAGGCAGTCAAGAGTGCCATCGGATGGTGTAATGCTCTCTGTGATAAATCGGACTATTTCTCTGATATCATATTAATGGGTCATTCGGCTGGGGGCCATTTAGTCAGTTTGGTGTCTCTAGAACCTCAGAATCATTGCCAAAGAGTTAAGGTAGGTTACCAATTCTTTCGAATGTCCAATTTTATCAATGCTGTTTTCCATTTGGCAAAGAGTTTCTGAACGTATCCGTGTTTTAGCTTCACAAGCTCCTACAACTTAATCATATAAACCTTAGTTTGCGTAAGCGATCCATAAAAAAATTAGCAGCTTAAGCTTGGTTTCTTGTTTATACCGGTGTCAAAGAATTAAGTAACAGCATGATATACGCCAAATCAGATCTTGATCTTAGATTAAATTCACATAGCACACGTTCGCGTAACTGGTGATAAACTCACAAAAATGCTCCTGGAAAATGGTCGTTATGCAGAAGATTGCAGATTCATCGTCCCTTTTGCTTTAATTAACCAATCTTTCCTATCGTATGAAACCTACTGTGTTTATTGAAAATAATGGAAGTCTCTTTGTCTATTTTTCAGGGTGTAATATCAATCAGCGGTGTTTATGATTTACAAAAACTTGCCACGGGCTTGCTTAAATACGTCTACCTCCATCCAATATTCGGCACAGATCCGTCTTTTTGGCTAGCTTATTCTCCACGTCATATAGCCAAGTGTCAAGCAGATTACAAGCGCCCACCATACTTACTCGTCAATGCTGACCAGGACATGCATCTGATCAAAGACGCCAAAGATCTGAGCGAGACGTTCAATGAACACAACATCTCACATCGTTTGATGGTAATTCAGGGCAAAAACCACTTCACTATTATGAATTTATTTAACAACTCGAACAAAGAGAATCGTCTAATTAAAACTTGTCTAGCATTTATTAAGACTTTAGATTTAGAGAGCTAATTTATCAATATATATTTATTTTTACGTTTTTTGTGATAACGTTATTAAAATTATATGAAGCATTTTGTGTCATTTAGGTTACTGCATTGAAAGGCCAAAAGTCGATCTTGCGACTGGTATCATCTGCGGGCAACTGTATTTTAGAGAGGAATACAGTTGCAATTGTTAGTATGGTTCTTTTTGCTGTAGACTCTACGCTCAGAATCTCACTGACTTCCAGTTGATCGTAATTGCCAGTCTTCGTTCAATATTCCGATAGAAGGGTATCGCTCGTGTTGATTTCAGTATATCCTGAACCCATCTCAAAGGCTTGAAACGAATGCTGTTAAGAAAATAACCCTTAATGGTGATGACCATTGGAAAGGGGATGGGGGACTGCAGGTAGGATTAACCATCACGGCATTGTGATTGTGAAATGAAGGTGAGCTGGAGCAGACACTTTTCTCCTGAATCTGGTCGATTTTAAGGCGGCCTATCTTCTGTGTACTAATACCATGGACAAAACAACGCAGTATTTTAATCTTCAGAACCAGGGTACAATCTTTGGAACTTAACAAAAGAATGTCATGATTAAGGTCATATGTCAAATATAATCTCAACAAGCTAAGAGATATGAAGATCAAATTTAAGTTATCGTGTCTTAAGATATAATAAAATATGTTGTGGGTTTATCAAACCGTAGAAATTACCCAAAGACCCAGCTGGATTTTTAGATTTTCGTAGCCATTGCTGGGGCATAGAAAAACAAAATTCTAACATAAAAATGAAATCTTTATTCCAGAATATCACAATCACTATTTACACTATCACCATTTTAAACATCAACTTTATCTTTCAAGATCTAATTTTCTCCATGATCTTTCAGTAATTATTTTTACAAATTCAACTCAAATCACTGGGATTTTTAATGATATTTGAACATAAATTTTACTAAAATACTTCTAAAAAGGTTATCAAGTTAGTAATTTGGGGATATATTCATTCTATTTGCATTATTATTTTGTTTTCCAGACCTTTATAATGAAATGCCATTCAAGCCAAATGCACCAAATTCCAATAAAACTAGAAAAATCACAATAGAATCCCTTGGACATGATTTCTGTTATACCTTATGAAGGTCCGGACAATATTCAGAACGTTAAGTGCACAAAAACACAAATATTTCAACATTTTATACAATAGCTGCCATAAGTAGAAATATTGTGCATTTATTAAAAACAGACACATGATCATAACAGGTCTACCACTAACACAATCTAAATAAATCATCATTGTTATCAAACAATCATTAACTGTCACTTGTATAAGTACCAAACTGCTTATTTCTTCATTTCTACAGTATAGCACTCATATTTGTGCACATTCAGTGACTATTCAAATCATTGGTATACTCTATATTTTAGATAGCAGTAGTAATAAACTTAATTTCAGTTAGGTTCAGAGCTGTTGATTTATCGGTCTTTGCCAGAAATGTCTGATTGGTGCTCCTAAATGACTGACTGCAAATTTGATCTTCAGCACATCTAGGTCTATTATTTCATGTTAAAATGTCCTTTAATGTTAATGTTAAATTTCTAATATCAACAGCCCTGGCAGGCCTATTTCAATCAGGATGCTTTCATACAATGGTATCTTATGTACATTAACATCTATGATAGAGGCTAAAGTCACAAGAGATATCAATTCATACAAATACTGTGAAACCAGTATTTCATAAAGGATACCCTGAATCAACATTTATTAGATTGCTAATTTAGCATGAAAATGAGATTATGCTAAAATCATAAAAACATATAACAAGCAAAATATATATAAAATTACCTTTTTTGCAGTTTTAAGTCAATTTTTTTCTAAAAGCATTTGTTTTTTTGCAAGTTTTAATTTTTTTTGCTTTTTTTTCTTAAGGTTAGCAAATCACACACAGGACATAATATACACATAATATGTGCTGCATATACACATAATATGTGCTGCATATCCTCTTGTTATAACACATTGGTATTATATCCCTGCACCAGTTATATAATATCACATATCACATAGTTCTGTTTAATACTGATTATAACTACACCTCGATCTGTCCCATAGGTTTTAAATCTGGCGACACCTACAATATCAAATCATATAAAGAAAGAAAGATCTATATTTTACAAGGATAACAACTTAAGTTCACAAAGGATCCTTTCTACCAGCTGGTCCTTGGCCAAATCTATTGACATTGCTCTTTCCCAGATTATCCATACCCATTTACGGCTGAGTTGACTGGAATTATGAGTGAAGATGACTTATTCAAGGTCATCAGACTTTCACACGCCTTCCAAGATAAGAGCCCACGTCCACATTTGTTTGACATAGCCCAGAAAATAATGTAACATGAAAAACCAATGACCTAATCAATTGTGCTACAGAATTCCAAAAAATCATTTACTGCAGGAGAGATAAAAATGAACGCTCTATATTCTAAATAGCTTGCCAGGCAAGGTAATATCGTCCACTCAGCCAAATTCAAGATGTTTTCCAGAAAATTATCTTGTCTCATTATACTACTAAAACTTTTTTAAAAACATTTTATTCAAATCAAGAAGCAAATATGTTTATATTACCTCAAAATCAGCTGCTGTCTTTTCAATAATATCTTCTATCAAAACACCATCAGCAACCTCAGTTAATATTAAACCATTTTCAGGATGGATATCAAACACACCCTAAAATAAATATTAACAATCTTATCTTCAGCTTTCCTTATAGAGATATCTATTCAGCCTTTTCTTATAGAAATATCTATTCAGCCTTTTCTTATAGAAATATCTATCCAGCCTTTTCTTATAGAGATATCTATACAGCCTTTTCTTATTGAGATATCTATACAGCCTTTTCTCATTGAGATATCTATTCAGCCTTTTCTTATAGAAATGCCTATTCAGTCTTTTCTTATAGAGATGCCTATTCAGCCTTTTCTTATAGAAATATCTATTTAACCTTTCCTTATAGAGATATCTATTCAGCCTTTTCTTATAGAAATATCTATTTAACCTTTCCTTATAGAAATATCTATTCATGCTTTCCTCATAGAGATATCTATTCAGACTTTTTTTATAGAGATATTTATTCAGCCTTTTCTTATAGAGATATCTATTCAGCCTTATCTTATAGAAATATCTATTCAGCCTTTTCTCATAGAGATATCTATTCAGCCTTTTTATTTAAGGTATATCTATTCAGCCTTTCCTTATAGAGATATCTAAATAATTTCAATATGATCCTACCATTTCAGTAATAATCATATCTACACATCTCTTGCCAGTTAATGGTAATGTACATTTTGGTAATATCTTCTTAGCACCTCCCTGAAACAGTTAGACTTCTTTTAGTAATGGAAGGGAAATAACCCTACTTATTCAGCAAAAGCTACAATTTTTGCCCAATATTTGACAAGTGCTCTTTGAGGCAAAAGATACAGTCAAATGATATTGGTGAAGATCTTTCAGAGTTTAAAGCAAATTCGCCTAAAATGCTTTTAGATTTAAAATTCAATTGTCTAGGTAGACCTTGGTAGAATGTACAATATGTAAAAAATAAATATGAATGGCCTGGGCCTATTTTTCTCTGAGATGGCTCACAAGGAATTGTTCATAATGTAAACCTTGCTGACCTTAGCACTATGTTCCATAGTAACAACTACTTTAGTCTGATGACTTGATACTAAATCCATAGCGCCTCCCATACCTTTCACTAATTTACCCTGTTGATACAAATAAACATTTAATATATCTTCTAAAACCAAAATTACCAAATTCTGGACAGAGTCAAGTTAATTCATAACCACTTCAATGATAACACTAAAGGTGCTCTCACACCATAGCAATCACTGGTCAGATCGCTTGACCGATTCTCAGAACGGATAAATTTTCTAATGTAAAAGGGGTTTAAGAATAGCGGTCATAAGTTTCAAATGCATTTATCTTGCAACTGAGTTGTGAGTTTTGTTCAGAACTCATGGCCACTTTCATTATTCACAACTATATGCAACTGGTTATCGCTATGGTGTGAAGGCACCTTTAGAACTGTTATACTGGTTACCACATGTCCTCATTTATATTAGCAATTGTACTAACTGGTTACTTCTAGACTTCTTGTTACGAAACCTTGGTTTATTTTTCAAATTCTTGCTATCAAGTTTCCAATAGATCAATATTATCCAAACTTTTGTATATGACTGTTTAATACTTACTGGTATCATCCAATTAGCTATATCACCACGTCTTGATACTTGCATAGCACCTAATATTGTCAGATCTATATGGCCACTGCAAAAGCAATCAATTTATAATGAATAGAGTTTTACATCCTACTTTTCTACACCTGATGGGACTAATCTGCAGTATGCAATGAGGTAAATTTTGCCAGGACAACATTAGATTATTCTTTTTCAATTTTCAACTGTTGAAAGATTTTAAACATGACAGCCTATGGTACTAGGGACCTCAGTCTATTATCCAAATCCAAGTGACTAGGCACTTTTCCAACCTCTGGCCCTTATTTTACAAATTAGATCCTCCTACAAATACAGGTACAACCTGCATTACCTTCATGTGTACATACCTTTACATTTCCTAAAATAGAATTCCTCTTACCCTCTAATCATAGCAAATGATTCATCACTGGAGAAGAAAGAACTGCCTTTAAGACTGGTAACTGTTTCTTTACCAGCATTGATCAAATCAGCATCTTCTTCACCTTTTCTTGGGAAAGGACCCTAAAATCAGTCAAATTGCACTTTAAGACTAAGTTTTTCAAATGTTGCCTGTAGTGCTGGGTATTTCAAATCATGTAACAATACAATACATATTGCAATATATGGGCTATAATACGATAAATGTTGCATGCTATCTTCAAACTTTCAATGATTTTTTTGCCACATTCAATGATTTTAAAGCCACATGATAAGATAAAGTATCAATACATGACCACACAATATGATACACGTATCGCAACATGATATATCGATACATCTAGATATATAGTGTACCTATAGTTTCCTGTGACTTCCAAGGGCATTACCTAATATCTTATCAATGAAGGGGCATAAAATGTACTTACCAAACCTAGAATACCATTTTCACTTTGTAAACTAACTTGTATACCTTTAGGTATATAGTTACTAGCTAACATTGGCATACCAATACCTAAATTAGCTATTATAATGTTAAGGTACAGAATATAATAATACCAACACACCTAGTCTTAAAGGTCAAATTCCAAAATTAAAACTTAAATAATCTTAAATATGATGACTTTTACACAGAACAGTTGTATTTAAACAAGGCTTGTGGGATAATTCTTTCTCCCATTGAACACAATCAAATGGATTTTTGTTTTATGGCTTTGGCATTAACATTAATAGCAAAGATTATCTATGTTTGATGAACTCATTTTCAAAATTCTGTTATCATAAATAAAATCTCATCAAATCCTATATAAATGAGGCAGGAAGTTTAGCACTCTGATTAAACTGCAAATCTGAAAGTTTCGTTTTGTGTTTTTTCTGAGGGTGACTCCACTTGCAATCAATGATCTGATAAAATTGTTTTGCATCTCCTGTTCTACTACTGATCAAAATTGAGTGTAATTTACAGAAGAATCTTGTCTGGATCAAGATGGCAAATGTATTAAACTGCAGAAAAAACAAAAATGGATGCCTTGAAAGCACTTACTCAGTAGCTCTACAGTGACTTCCATACATGTATTGACCACAATAGTCATTTTGTACCCTGTGGTATATTAATTGTACTTTTAGAATTGTAGAATGAAAGTGCTCCATTAAAAAAAGGATACCGTACATGCCATCTTTAAATTCTAAAGCTGCTCTTCTGATAATTTTCTCTCTCATCTGTGCAGCTTCACTTTTAGGTTTATCATCTTTTCCTTTCTTTAGCAAGTGTTAATCTCTATCATA